TTTGATCATTTATGTTAGGTTCAGGTTCGAAAGAACCTTCATTTGCCGATATGGCTATGGAGAAAGCTCACAGCACTAAGAAGGTACACATGGTTGCACGAAATCAAACCATAATTAATAGAGTCGTCGAAGTTGGCACACTCCGACATGATATAAAGTGAAGATCGATAGAGTCATGTGCCGAACAGGCACACAAGTTCGAGGCGTCTCGGGTTTCATCCTACGTATCACTACCACGGATACTTGGACCGATAGATTCGACGCGGAACTATAGAGAGTTCTAAGTGTTTCCGAATAGAGTATCTTTTCATGAACGGATTCTCACGAGGCATTTTTTTATAATCGCCTCACATATACTAGTCATGTATATTTAAGGTGGGGAGGACTATTGACTGAGCGACCCCGCCCTAAATCCACAACCAAATGAGGAACAGGAGATGAGGCGGCATTCGCTCACTCTAGGTTTGTCCATCTTAAATATACATGGTCGTAACGTATATGTTTAGCCACTATAATTTTACCTAATAAATTTTTAAATTTTATAACAGTGCTGCGACTTTCGCCTTGCTGGAAAGAATTTACATTGAATTAGTCTTTTAATGTATTTAGCTTTGTTATCTGAGATCGAGAGTCGTACCAAAAATCTACCGAGTTCCTTGACGTTTCTCCCTAAGCAGTAGTGTCAGGCTCCTTCTGTGTCTTTGTCTTTTCCTTCGGTTGGGCAATCCTTCTTGAAGTGTCCGAACTCGCCACATAGGCGGCAAACCTGTGTGGCCGCCGCATTGGCGATTGATGCAATACGTTCCACCGGAGTTCTGCATACACGAGCAGTATGCCCCTTCATGCGGCACCTAGCACAATAGAGTTCTCGGCAAGCACCATGATGATGGTAGCTGCACCTGCTGCAGTGGGGAAAGTCTCCTAGATACGGTCTTCTTGGAGTCGGGAGGGAAGGGTTGGCAGGGGTATAGACTGCCTCAGCTCGTTGTCCATCGGAAGGTCCTTGAGCCGAGGTACTTCCCTTTTCTATCTTGAGTTTCCTCTTTAGTGGGTTCGGTTGAGGTTCTTGGGTGACTGAGTATGGAAGTGTGGGTTGATGCTGTCCATCGCCAGGATGGGAAATCCCGACAGGACCCTTGCTAACATCGGCGGTGTTAGCATTCAGGTGAGCCATGACAGCTGCTACGGCTGCTGAAACTGCAGCTTGGAACGTAGCTTCATCAAATAGGAGAGTAGGTTTCTTGCTTGTGGATTGGTTACGCTTCTTCGGTGGCATGGTTTTTCCTACACGGAAAGGAATACAAGGTAATGAGAGACGATGGTTAACCCTGGACGTTTCTGTCCTGAACGTATTAGGCATAATATTTTTCCCATGCCTCGGGTATTGGTTGTCTGAGTGTCGACCTACATCCCTATGATGTAGTCCTGGAAATCGAAGTGGGTGTATGAGTATCTATTAAAACGCCATAAGATGCGAGTCGTTCCTACTAAGTTACCTTTATACTGAGAAAGGTTTCACTCTCCGGCCTGGAGAGATTTGAGAATAGTTCGGAACGAAGCTGCGGGAAGAGAGGCTCATGAGGGCTTATGGCTAAACAACCTCACAGAAGTGTGAGGATCCGCTCTAAGCGCATTACTGGCAACGGGAACAAGGTGATTTACCTAACACATAGCGTGAGCAGTGTAATCACTAACTCACTAAATTGTATTATTTTATGGGTGTATTAGCGTGAGGAACACGAGGAAAAGACACTTTTCGGGTTCCACGTACTGGCTCCCTCGGTCTGCCTCGTACCTTTGACTGGAATCGGCGTTGGTTTCCTTCGGGTAGTTTCCTAGGGTTCTCTTCTCGTATGGACATATTGAATTTCTACTCCGCTTTCCTTCTGACTCCGACTATGGGTGTCATCACTTCACGATGGATGACTGGGAATCTCCGAAGTTTAGGAGAATTCCCCACCGAAGTCCCTAAAAGAATATGGGCACTTGGTGCTTTCAATAGTCTCGACCCAGTTCACTTATTTCCGAACGGAAATCTTCTGAATGAACTTCTTCGGGGTCGGAATCAACTCTTATGTTATGCACTGAAGTGGGTAGGGTTTTCTACAGGGTTCGTGCGAGAATGGAAATGTCTAAAGAATCCTAATAGATTATTAACATTTCGCTGGATGATCCACATCGAGTCCTGCTACGATTACACAGGGTATACAAATCATATATAGCTTAGATCCGATAGGCCTTCGAATATGTGATACTACTCTAGAACCACATCCTAACAAGGAAAAGGAAATAGAGCGAAACCACACATTCTTAGCCTATGGGATCCTTATTATATATAACCTTGGAAGTGTACCCTCTGTAGCTGTAGGTATATCAATAAGGATCTTTTAGTTCTCACACCAGGTTATCTATGTATTCTAAATACCCCTATGGTATTTTAATTTTTGTTTGTTTTCTCATCTTCTGAATGTCATTCTGGGATTAGTGTGAATCTTCTAAATACCCCTATGGTATTTAAGGGCTTAAACACAAGGAAAATGAGGGATTTCTTGGAGTTTACGGCCCAAGCATATATCTAGGCCGTAAACTCCCCAAAACCCCCTCAAATGTTGGTTTTAATCACCCAAAATAGCATCAAACTTCATAAGAAAATTCTAGCGGACATTGTGTGTATAGGCCTATACGGGATTGACAACCCCGCACCCTGACTGCTAGCTACAGTCCACGGCCTACCAAGCCAAGGGGTGACAAATGTCACATTATATAGATGCTTGTAGGGCGTCTAGTACTCTAGTCAGTATGGTTACGAGTATCCTGGGTTGCCTTATAATTCATGGCTTTAAGGTAACGGTATTTCATCAGCGATTTACACTGTATGCTGATATCACTGTTTTTGAGAGTCACACTGTTTGACCTTACAAGATGTATCTTTCATTTGATACCGTCTGGGGTCTGTTATCTCTGTTTGACCTTACAAGATGTATCTTTCATTTGATACCGTCTGGGGTCTGTTATCTCTGTTTGACCTTACAAGATGTACCTTTCATTTGGTAACGTCTGCGGTCTGTCTTCATTGTTATGACCTTGCAGGATGTACCTTCCATTTGGTATCGTCTTCGGTCTGCGTTCACTGTTTTAGACCTTACCAGTTGTACCTTTCATTTGGTACCTTCGGGGGTCTGTTTCTCCATTTGTTAGACTAAACCAGGCGTGTCGTTAGTTCGATACTTTCCTGGAGTCTATGACTCTTTTGCCTTAGTCAGCAGTCCTCACTGCTGAGGCATATGTTATTCCCTGATGCCTCTGCTTTCTTTAATAATCAAATTCAGTATTTTGATATTATTAGCAATTAAGGGAAACTTCTTCTTACCACATTACACTGACCAGTCTTGGTAGAAGGCTGCTTTTATTAAAGAAAATATAGGATTTTCTGGAAGGAACTCTAATACACTGAAATCTCTTAAACTATCACTTTATTAAGTTATTTGAATGAAATGTCACTAAATGCTTATGAACCCACCAACATTTGTAAAAATGCTGATACTCGCTTTTCAAATAACTTGTATTCTCAGGTTAGCATTAGACAGGTACATCCCCGGAGCTGTTGATGAAGATAACTTTGTACCATGTTGTATTTATTATATTACTTGTATTACTTTAAATTGTTGTAATGTAACCTTGTAAAACTATTACTATTAATGCAATGTTTTGTTGTACTTTGATTACTATAATGCATGTGTTGTGATATTTGACATGACGTCATCCACCCCAGAACGTTTCCGCCGTTCCGGTTTTGGGGTGTGACATATATATATATATATATATATATATATATATATATATATATATATATATATATATATATAATTTTATAAATGTAATGTTTACAATATAAATTCTTGCGAAAGAGCTAAGAGCTATTCTTTTTATCATTGGATTTACAGTTGCTAGAATGGTTCTATTCAAATACTTGAGGTGTATAATGCATTATTTTTTATTGTTGATAATATAAAATTCTTTATGTTTTTTCTTTTCATATTTTTGTTTTAATTATTTAGGAAGGAGGTCAACTAACACTAAAATTTAATATCTACAAATATTCAGGGGCATTTTCATCTACAAATATTCGGTGGCGGGTACATAGATTTAGGGGCATTTTCTTCTACAATTTAGTATCTAAAAATGAATTGGGTAGGAGATTTGAAATAAACCCATTGCAGGAGTTCATCAAGTATGAATATGACAGTCTTATCTTCCAATGAGGTAAAAGATTCAGGGGTATTTTCGTCTAAAATTTACCTTGTGATCATTGGTACAAATTATACCATTCCATTTGCATGGAAATTACTAAGATTGATAACATGAGTAGCATCAGAGGAAAAAAATATATTTTTTTAAAAATCAAAACTACTCATATTTAATTATAAGGGAATGAGAAAAGAAGAAGTTGCATAATCATTTGTTAAGAAATCAAGAAACTATACACTTAAACAGGAAGTCGCCAGAACTCGGTTAATTGATTATCAAGAAATCAACTGATAACTAAAGAGCAGATCAAGAAATCAAGAAATGTAGAAGAAAAATCAAAGTCAATCAGGTAAGTAAAAATATGAAGTTTAACAAAAAAAATTGTACATGGGATAATACAGTCGAAGGTGCAGATATTCTGGAAGAAAGAGATGAAATTGAAGACGATGATATTGAAAAAAAATCGGAAATCCGTAATATGAAAAAATCAATTTATGTGTGCAATTGATATAGGAAGACGATGATATTGAAGAAGAGGATAATTTCATAAGAATTGTGGATAACGAGAGAGTCGGAGACGCAAGGTGAGAACCGTTCCAGGGATATTTTCGTTAGATTGAGAAAAAAAGAATACGCGTATAATTTACTGAGTACTCGGTATAACTCACGCATTCGTGGGCGGTGCTTGTGTGGGGGGTGCGCCACCAGAAATCGGGCTTGAAGCTCTCACCTTACCAACGAGCCGACAGCTGATGGCTGTTGGTCACATGCTGGATCCTCTACTATTCTATGTTCTTCCCGAAAGCGTGCTAATCCCGCGCCCCCTGTCCTTCTCCTTAGTTTCTAAACTAGCAGAATCGCAGGACATAAAAAGTGGGAAGTTTCAAGTCAAGTCAAGAATCATAATCGAACTGGAGGAGCTTGCCAGGATGGTCTCCTACCTTCGTACAGCCTTGAACTTGAAGTCGAACTATAGAACTAACCTTAAGAGGCAGTATGAGACCGCGTTGTATCGAATTAAACCACATTCTGTTGAGTTCCGCCTTTTTAGGTGAGACTATTTTTCCAGTGAATTGTTTCATTGGACTTATCAAACTTTTACTTTGTTTTGGTTCTAGGCATGCCAAACACCCTTTTGAAAGTTGTAGTTGTGTTCTGTCCCACTTTGTTCTCCTCAGCAAACGGGCCCTTGTATTTTGCATGATTACATTTTTGTTTTAGGTAAGAAAGTTTAAAAAGTCCATTAGCATTGGGCCAGCCTAAGTTTTTTATGACCGGATTCGGCAGGCAAATATCCACCGCTAGATTTGATATTTTATCAAAGATCCTACCTACGCGATACCACATGTGATAATGGATCTCTTTCAACGGCTATAGTGATCGTCCCTCTCTCAAAACCCTAATTGTCGAAATTCTCTTCTACTAAATCGCCCTCACTGTCAGATTTTCTCATCATCAAGGTACACCAACATCCACCTTCAGTAGATCATTTTTTCGTTTTTCCGTACTCAGATTCCGCTTACTCTCGCATATGCATGCACGTGTTCATCCCTGAATTCAAAATTGGTTAGCTTTAATGTTCGATTTTTTTTATTATTCAATCGGGCTGGTCATTCGCAAGGTTATGCAGTCGATTTTTGCAGTTCTTTGTGTAAATCAGTAATTTGATTTATAATTTATGTTATTTTAGAATGTTTTGGGTTGCGCTTCTTATTTATTGAATTATTTAATTTCTCTGAGTAAATTGAGTTTTAAATTCTCGCAGTTTTCATGTCACCAGGAACATTGTGTCTCTTTATTTTTCTGATATTGTTATGTTTTTCTTTTTTTTAACCTTTCTAAGTTTTCGTGCCACCAGGAACATGAGTCGCTCTAGCAGAACTCTATACGTTGGCAATCTCCCTGGGGATATTCGCGAGCGAGAAGTGGAAGATTTGTTTTACAAGGTAATTACATCCGGTTTCAGATTCGCATCCAAATTTGAACTCGTATTTTACAACGCCTGGTTTCAAACTGAGTTTCACATTGGTCTCTAATTTTGGTTTTCAAAATCGATTCCTTACACATCACAACATGGTTTCAAATTGAACTCTGCATTCCAAAACTTGGTTCCAAACATTTTTCTAGGGTTTTAAGTAGCCATTTAAGTGCATTTGCTAGATTAATCAAAAGGTTGTAGTAATAAAGTTTATATATGTTTATTTATTTGGTTGCAGTATGGTCGCATAGCCCATATTGATTTGAAAATTCCACCAAGGCCTCCAGGTTATGCTTTTGTTGAGGTAAGCTTCAACATCTTCTGTTTTCCTTTTTATCATTGTTTTCCCGATACATGGTAATATTGTTTCTTTTAGTTTGAAGAGGCTCGTGATGCTGAAGATGCTATCCGTGGTCGCGATGGCTATGATTTTGATGGGCACAGATTAAGGGTGGGTCCCACATACACCATGTTTCTATTAGTCAAAACATTTAATATCATATCGGTATGATTAACATTTGCTTACTTTGAACAGGTGGAACTCGCCCATGGTGGTCGTGGCAACTCATCTTCTACAGACCGTCATGGCAGTTATGGCAGTGGTCGCGGTGGTGGTGGTGGTGGTGGTGGTCGCAGTGGTGGAGTATCTAGACGCTCTGATTACAGAGGTCTGTCTTTTTATTCCATGGTTTACATAAGAATACTAATTTCTGAAATATAATTTTGATTTATATTTGATGCAGTTATGGTGACTGGCTTACCCTCTTCTGCATCATGGCAAGACCTAAAGGATCACATGCGCAGAGCTGGAGATGTTTGTTTCTCCCAAGTTTTTAGGGAGGGTGGTGGCACTACAGGGATTGTGGACTACACAAACTATGATGACATGAAATATGCTGTAAACATTTTTCTTTTTCACCTCTTCAGTGCTATGTTTAAAATTTGAAGCTTATATTTTTTAATTTTGTTTACAGATACGGAAATTGGATGACTCTGAGTTTCGAAACGCCTTCTCTCGTGGATACATTCGTGTATGGTTTCAATTAATTAATATGGAAACTATGCATATATATAGTCATGGGTTATAAAGTATGTGTTTAATCGACTTGTAGGTGAAGGAATATGATTCAAGCCATTCAAGGAGCCGGAGTCGCAGTCGAAGCAAAAGCAGGAGCTACAGCAGGAGTCGCAGCAGGAGCATAAGGTTGAAACATTTTCTTATTGCATCGTTTATCTGAAATGTCATGAAAATTGAAATTAACAAACATAAGTTCAAATTCTGATGCAGCAAGTCCCCAAAAGCAAAACCTAAAGCTTCAAGATCTGTGTCACCTCGTTCTGGATCAAAATCAAGGCATGCTTCTTTTCTCCCTTGTGATATTTTTTGTTTTGCTTATTTTGAGTTGAGATTCTATTTTTTTTTATGATGACATGAACAAGTACTGTTTGGTTACTATGTTGCTTATCTCATTTTCGATGCTTTTTCTTGCCTGGATAAATGATGTTTAAAAAATACTTGAGAAAATTCTGGGGAGTTGGAAGATTTTTTTTTGGGGGATTATGATGGGATATGGTGCAATTGCCTATAACAGTTTTGGTTGTTGAGGTATTTTGGTTTGTAGATGCGAATTTTGGAATTCCTTGTGGTGTTCTTAAATAAGCATATTGGGAAAGGAGAAGAATGATGGAAATGGATTTGCAATGGTAAAGCTGGGATGTGAAGTAGGGGACTATACGGTACAAAAACAATTTGGACCATCTGATTGCCACAGCGCTTAACAAAATTTATTATAATTTATTTTTTAATTGATTAGATCCTGCATGTGGTATATTGGTCTCTGTTGGGCTGCTAAACATGTGTGGATTTTGCGTTGATTATTACTATTGATTATGGAAGTGGGCATCAAGGCTCTCTCCCACTCTATCTCTTCTCTCTCTCTTGGATCAGAGGAACATGTGGATATTAAACTCGCTTGTTTCTGGAACTTTTGCAGATCTCCTTCAAGATCCAGATCTCCCCTACCTTCTGTAAGTCAGACTCAAACCATACTTTCATCTAATCTGATAATTTTTAACCTTTTTTTTTGTAGTTTGGTCTTATTGTTGCTATAGTCAGCTAAACACAGATTTTGATTTATTTGTTAACGGTTGTGTGTGACATTGGAGTTCAGCGCCCTAAGCGGATAAGTAAAAGCCCAAAAAGACGCACCCCTAGCAAGAGCCCCAGCAGAAGCAGAAGCAGGAGCAACAGTTTATCTCGGTATAATTTTTTAGCCCCATTCTCTCTCTCTCTCTCTCTCTCTCTCTCTCTAATATATATAGGGTATGATATGTATCCAGGTAATAAGTTAGCGGGTTGATGATTATGGATGGAGTGGAAAAGGAGCATGAGTGATATGGTGATGTTGCTTACTATTTCAGTTATTAATAGTGGTGGATTATGATTTTATGATTATTCATGAGATTCGGAAAGAATGGATTTGTGACTTTGTTTTGGTTATGTGACTGGGTTTGGTGTTAGTTTCTGCTCTAATTTGAAACAATTTGTTTTGTTTTTCATGTGTCACTTGGTACTTAAAAAACTTTGCATCGTTTATGATAATCTTTTATGGTGTTGTCTTGTCTGTAAGTTTTGTAACAAAGGCTTTGTTTGTTATGCATCACATGACAGAACACACGCGGAAACCAAAAAAGCACTAGGTTAAATAAAATAATGTCTAAATAGGTAATTTTATTTGCTATTTGATAACAAGTTTATTGCAATAGATACGAAATTGATTACTTGACTAATATATAAATAATAAAAGACAATTTCTTTATCTAAAGACGATTACCTAAAATCTCGCTATAGCAACAAGTTTCAATCATAAAATATAAGTTTAAAAAAAAGTACGTATTAGATATCTAACAGATTTTGTAATGACAGGTGATTTACGGGGTTTGTTTATTTAAAGTCTTAAGTTGGAATTGATAATAAAATATTTTAAGTGTTTGGATATAAGAATATTTTGTTTATTTAGAGTCTTAAGTTGGTATTGGTAATAAATATTTTAGGTGTTTGGATATAAGAGTATTTTTGATAAGTGAATTCACCGTTGATTATTGCTTAAATAAAAAGTTTTTATTAAGTTATTTTGTTCATATATGTATAAATAAAAAATTTCAAACATAATAAAACAAAAACAGCTTATTAATTTGCTACATTTTGGGTACCACATAATTAATCCAAACATTTCTTACACAAAATAAAAGTTAATACATACCAAAAAAACTTAAATTATGTTGAATAAGCAATTCCCAAACACCCAATAAGACTCGATTGGTTTTATCCCTTCTTTATCATAGTATGAAAATATGCCAAATGCCGTATTTACTATTATTAACCATTCTCAATTAAGTATTTAACCAGCTCATTGCCTTATTTACAACTTACGTATTATATGAATTCCAAAGCCTCGATAAGATCAAATCTAGTCCTTACAATCTTGAGTTGACTGGTTGTATGTTTCAATTTATTATTATTATTATTATTATTATTATTATATATTGATATCCTAGCCTGAATTCGATAAAGATGCTACTTAAAGAGCTCGAATAACTGAGGCTCATCTACAGCCATGGAATTAAACGTTATATGGTAAACAAATATATGACACACGTCCTCCCAAACAATTGGTTGATGGAGATTATGTCGTACAAGATGCCGTTAAGGCTGACACCGTCTTATTCTGCTGTCAATTCCCCTAAAAAGCTTTGCCCACTCAAAACCCTCTCACCCGAATCAAATCCCAAATTCGGATCATCAATTTTACCTTGAGCCCTAGACTTGAGAATTCTAACCTGACGCTTCTTCTTTCCGATTCGTTAATCCAGAGCAAACGAATCGGACACCAGTTCGATGTGTTTTTACTGGTGATTTGATAAGAAAATGTCTGAAACTGTAGCTGAAAATGTGTTTTCGTATCTCCCCGATGATGTAGTTCTTAACATATTTCTCAAGCTTGTTGATGATCCGCGTAACTGGTCGCGTCTCGCTTGCGTTTGCACCAAATTCTCATTTCTGATGCGCACGATTTGCTGGAAGAACAAATGCCATCAAATGATCCCCGCGGTCGTCTTCAATCTTCTCCCACCGGACGCCTCCGTCAATTCAACGGTATCTCCTCCAGGCGGCTGGGCGTCGCTGCACAAGCTCGCCGTCTGCTGTCCTGGACTCATGCATTCCGGTGTCCTCCTCGAGAATTCCGATTTCGGACTGGAGCGTGAACTAGGTCCCGACGAAAACTTTCAGGAAACGAAATTGTTTCAGATAGGTAAGTCTCAGTCAAATCCTTGCTGTTCTAGCACTGTTGATGATGATAAGATGAAAGAGGCTAATGTTTCTGTTCCTACATCTGATTGTTCGTGGTCGTTGTACGATGATCTCTACTTGGATACTGTTTATAACACCGCTTCCAAATCCAAAGATCAAGGTGAGACTGAGGTATGCGAAGAAGAAGACACAAAAGCTTCGGCTGTTGTTAACACAGCTTGTGATTTTTCTGTTTGTAAGAGGAGAAAGATGTGTAGATCTTTTACGTCTCATTTAGCATCTGAGGGTTGGAATTTCAGCCGGGAGCAAGGGAACAAGCTGTTAGCTAGTAGGTTTAGAGGCGATTGTTTATACATTTGTGATTGGCCTGGTTGTGTTCATACAGAGGAGAAGCGAAATTACATGCTGTTTAGGGGTGTTTTTAAGAACTTCAAGAAATCTAGGGTTTGGAGGACCATTAACGATGGGAATCGCAGCAAGATTGATCTGAATTGTGCATTTTGTCCTAGCAATGAGGTGTGGGATTTGCAGTCGGCTTTCTGTTTGAGGCCTGCATATGGATTCCATGATGATGGGGAGCCTGTTGTTCGAGCTTATGTCTGTGAGAATGGACATGTGTCTGGTGCCTGGACAGATTGGCCATTGTACACTTGAAGATAAGTATCGCCTTTATTTTCTTTAACTTCATCTCTGTTAATTAGATTGTTAATTGCTTCAAGCATCCCATGCTTATATCTCTTCCTTTATGTATTCGATTCTATGTTATCTGATAATTACTTCTAGTCTGTAATTGCACCTATGATATATTCCTTAAGATCAACTATGTTTTTTTTAATCAAAATAACAAAACCTTGATATAATTTTGCTAGGAGGTGATGATCTCTATTTTTTTAGAAGATCTGGAACTCATTTATTGATTAGTGAAACACATTATTGATTGCATGATCCAGTTTCCTATCAACATACACAACAATGACATACTTTTTTTTTTTACATATTGTATAGTTGTGTATGGCAAAAAACTGTTACTCCCATCAACAATATTGTATAGTTGTTTAAATGCCTTGCTTTAATAGTTGTTTCAATCAAGACCCAACCACTCCTGTTGTTTTCAAACTTAAATAAAAATGAAAACAATCACCTAAAACGGTCCATTTTTGATCTTGACATACCATCTTAAAACCCCATTGCAATGACATTTAAACCTTTTCATATTACAAAGTAAGATATATATGTCCACAAAGTTGACACATCTATAATTTATCGATTAAGAAGAAAAAATATGAATACGACCCATGGCCCAATAAATTCGACAATTTGATATCACAAAAAAAGTTGATGTAACGGATCTCGTTTTGGTTCCTTGTACGACTAGGTTCATTCAGAATAGCTACTTTTTCAAATTTGAGAAAAAAAAAAAAAAAATACAGCTGTTTATTATATGGGTCGTCAGCTATTCAAGCTGTTTTTTTTTGGTGGACCATTTGACAGTTTGAGACGATGAGTCCATTACTCGACTAGGTGACAATTCTTGTTGTCAGGTCTATAATTGTGAAGTGTATGCTTCTAGAGTTATATATAATTGGATCTTATAGACTTAAAATTTGTGATCTTTACTCTACTACTTGTTCCTTGTTTGGTTGTGGTTTTGGAGTAAGATTACTTGTTTGAATGTCTATTTGATATTGGTTATATACAACTTGTATATACTGCGTGGTTATAGGAGGATCTAGTTTGGCTCACCTCGTTTGGTTCAAACTTTCACGTTTCATCCCTAAAAGCCGATTTTATTACGGTTTTAGTCTATGCTATATCTGAATGACCATAATACTCTAATATATTTATTTTTCAATTAATCTAATATTATTTATTATTATTTATAATTTTCAAAAAGAATTGGGCCCCACTCCAACCCACTCTCTATCTATCTCAATATTTGGATAATACTGAATTGAACAATTTGGATTGAACTATTTGGTTTGAATATACGGATTTTTGGATTGATTTTCAATAAAAACAAATTATTATTTTGGATTGGTTTTGGTTAATAAAATAAGAACAAAATAGTCCCAAAAAAAACCGAATATGAATATATTGTTTATTTATTTTTAATATATCTATAATTATTTACTAATGTTGTAATTTAGTTTTTCAAGTAAGTTCAAAAAGTTTCACTTAATAAAAAAAATTAATATGCATTTCTCTCAAAAGCTTTTATCTATTAAATATTAAACTATAATATACATTCATAGTAATTGTTTATAATTTTTAATTCACAGCTAAATAATTTGTTTTTGCTTCTTCTAAAAAAATTAGATAATATTATAATTATATATTGTTTTTTAAATTGTTTTTTTTTTTTTTTTTAAATCTCATTATAAAAATCGATCCAATCGAAGTGTAATTTGATCGGATCTAATTGGATTTGAATTTAGTCTGGACCATTTGAATCTATATTTTAAAAACCGAAATTAATTTGGATATACTTAATTGGATCGGATCGAACCGATCAATCCAAACGGAAACCCCTAATCCTACAGATCAGTCTCTCTCTCTCTCTCTCTCTCTCTCTCTCATGAAGAAGAATCTTGATCGCCATAATCACCGAAAGGTCCGACTACAATAATAGATTTAGCTTTATCTGATATGATGACTAAGCCTCCAAATAACTGACATGTGACAACTCTGTGGAATTTTGATAAAAAAAAAAAAACAACTCGGTTCCCCATCCTCTACCTTCCCCACCTCATAGGCCAATACCAATGTTTGGTTTTACCCATCCATGACTACCATTAGAAGCAACATTCACTCGTAATTCCATTTCAAGTGGGCAAGGCCGGTCCTGAAAAATTAAATATTCTTAGAGGCTCATGACGAACAAGAAGAAAAAGACTCTTATCTTTATTATAATTTTTAATTTTTAAATGAAGATATATAATGAAAAAAATTGAGTCTTGTGTAGTTGCAATGACTCGCATTTCACACCACAAACTTGAGCCTATAAAATATCTTTTTTGAATTGAACATTTATATAACGTATGATACGAAATACTCTCATTACTATTTTTAGTTGTTACACCTTTAATAATGGTCCAACACATTTTTGTTTGCTTGACGATGCGTTGGGGTTGTATGCATGTGTGTATTATGTAATATATGAAATTCGTAACAAATTAACATCTTTAGCTAATATAGCCTAATACTTAAGGGTTGGTTTTTGTTTTCATAACATTTTAACTCAAACCCGTATGTCGTAGATTTCGTCACTTTTATATCAAACCCCTCTTGAACACATTTCAAACCCAACTATATCTTCAGATTTTATTTGTTTTCAATAACACCATATTTATAATATTAAGTGTCGGTTTGAGAGCGATCGATGGTT